TGCCTCTTCTGTTCCAGATCTCAAGAGCTTGGCGGCAGCTTGTGTCTGAGGTTGCTAAGAAACCCTAACAAGCAAGGTATAGCCTGTTTACCTGAAACCCTGAGGTCAGAGCTGATCTACTTCCTGTGTGTGTGTGTGGGACAGACATGATGCTCTGACAGCTCTGCACTAACATGATTAACTCCTCCTCCATATTCATCACACACTGATATTTACAGGACAGATATCTGAGGGCTGTGATTGGTTGGTCCTTGTCACATGACATGCAGTGTGTGCCGTGTTTCAAAAGTTGAGCTCGCCTGCTGCGCGTCTTCATTGAAAACAATGAATTTGAGGGCGCAAAAGACGCAGCATGTGTACGGCCCCTTAGATGTGTCAGAGACGTGACAGAGACATGACAGAGACGTGTCAGAGAGATGACAGAGATGTGACAGAGAAGTGACAGAGACGTGACAGAGACGTGTCAGGGACGTGACAGAGACGTGACAGAGACGTGTCAGAGACGTGACAGAGACATGACAGAGACGTGACAGAGAAGTGACAGAGACGTGTCAGAGACGTGTCAGAGACATGACAGAGATGTGACAGAGAAGTGACAGAGACGTGTCAGAGACGTGTCAGAGACATGACAGAGATGTGACAGAGAAGTGACAGAGACGTGACAGAGACGTGTCAGAGACATGACAGAGATGTGACAGAGAAGTGACAGAGACGTGTCAGAGACGTGTCAGAGACATGACAGAGATGTGACAGAGAAGTGACAGAGACGTGTCAGAGACGTGTCAGAGACATGACAGAGATGTGACAGAGAAGTGACAGAGACGTGTCAGAGACGTGTCAGAGACATGACAGAGATGTGACAGAGAAGTGACAGAGACGTGTCAGAGACGTGTCAGAGACATGACAGAGATGTGACAGAGAAGTGACAGAGACGTGTCAGAGACGTGTCAGAGACATGACAGAGATGTGACAGAGAAGTGACAGAGACGTGTCAGAGACGTGTCAGAGACATGACAGAGATGTGACAGAGAAGTGACAGAGACGTGTCAGAGACGTGTCAGAGACATGACAGAGATGTGACAGAGAAGTGACAGAGACGTGTCAGAGACGTGTCAGGGACGTGACAGAGACATGACAGAGACGTGACAGAGACGTGACAGAGACGTGTCAGAGACGTGACAGAGACATGACAGAGACGTGTCAGAGAGGTGACAGAGATGTGACAGAGACGTGACAGAGACGTGTCAGAGACGTGACAGAGACGTGTCAGGGACGTGTCAGAGACGTGTCAGAGACGTGACAGAGACATGACAGAGATGTGACAGAGAAGTGACAGAGACGTGTCAGGGACGTGTCAGAGACATGACAGAGATGTGACAGAGAAGTGACAGAGACGTGTCAGAGACGTGACAGAGACGTGTCAGGGACGTGTCAGAGACATGTCAGAGACGTGTCAGGGACGTGTCAGAGACATGTCAGAGACGTGTCAGAGACGTATCAGAGACGTGTCAGAGTCGTGACAGAGACGTGTCAGAGACGTGACAGAGAAGTGACAGAGACGTGTCAGGGACGTGTCAGAGACATGACAGAGACATGACAGAGACGTGTCAGAGACGTGACAGAGACGTATCAGAGACGTGTCAGGGATGTGTCAGAGACGTGACAGAGACGTGTCAGAGACGTATCAGAGACGTGTCAGAGACGTATCAGAGACGTGTCAGAGACGTGACAGAGACGTGTCAGAGACGTATCAGAGACGTGTCAGAGACGTGACAGAGACATGACAGAGATGTGACAGAGACGTGCCAGGGACATCGGATGCAGGAGGAGCTATAGGCTGATTTCACCTCCAGGTCACCGGGGGGGCGCTCTGGATGCTGCTTGTTCTCTTCACTTAAAATTAAAACTAGCTTCGTTACCAGCAGTAAAAATGGCTTCCCAAAATATGAGTGCCTTACGTTACAGACGAGGACATGTTACGTTACAGAGTCTGAGGGGACGAGGGGCGGAGTCAGAGGTAACGACCACGTCTCTACTGTCCTGCTCTGTGTGTCACTGAGTCGCGTACCACAGCGTGTACAGCGTCCTCTGGGTGTTGCCACTGATCTCAGAGCAGCCACCGACAGGAACACATTAAAGTTTGATCTGAAACATAGAAACGACTCTTCAGTCACCTGACCTGAGATCAGTGTGACTCACAGCTTCACATCAATATTCATGAGACACATATGTTGTGTTTATTTATCCTCATGTTACATGTCGGACAGTTTCTGATTCACTGACGAGCTGAGAGTCTCTGCACGCCTGATTTATTCATGTGACTGACTCACTTATTATTCTCTCTCACACACACACACACACACACACTAAAATTTAACTTTTATCCACTTTCATGTCTCAACATGTTATTGTTTTTGGATTGTTTGTATTTCCACGTAGCGTTATTTTTCCTGAATATTTGTGCAGACTGGTTCAGATTTTACATTTTGAGACGCTGTTTTAATTTGATTATATTTCTGTATAAATTCAGCCTTAAATCATCGGTGGCTGTTTTTAGTCCTCAGAGACTCGTCTCTCTGTGTTGGTGTCAGATTTCTGGCAGACGGACGTATGATTTGATGAGCTGATATAAAAAGGCTCCGTCAGTAAACATGTGTTTTTGTCTCTGATGCGTTCATGTTCTTTTAGAAACGTCTCATTTCAGCTGCGTTTATTTAAGACAGACACAAACAACCTTTTATTTTATGACTTTGTGATGTTTCTCTGCTGCTGAGTCCAAACCTGCAGTCAGGGACGTTCATGTGTCCACACTTAAAGAGTTTGACAGCTGAAATAATGAACACATGAATATTTAAGAGAGCCCCTCGTCAGTAACTCCAGCGTTTGTCCTCGGAGCAGGAAGTCGTCCAGAAGCCTCTCGCAGCTCTTCATTTCTAGCATGTGTTGTCGTGACGACAGTGAGTCAGCTGATGGAGCGAACAGGAGGCTTGTGGACAGGAAGAGGAACCCCTGTGGACACTGAGCGTCCTGTAACTCGACAAGCGGTCTGGAAAAACGCCTCGTGTTGGTTTTGCCATCATGCTTCAGTGCTCGGCTCGCTGTGACGGCTCTGAACCGCGGTCTGGATAAAAACACGGCCGCTGCGTCTGAAGAGACGCTACAAACAACATCATGAATATTTCTGTGAGCAGAGACTCTGAGCCTGGTCTCATGAGACGGGACACACTGCGGTCTGGCAGATGTCAGACCTCTGACATCATTCAGCTTTTATTTCTTTTTATTGTAGGAAAATGATTTTGTGTCCAAAAAGGAAACAGAGCTCAGATTTGTTCTGATTTATCTGAACTCCCACAGAGAGATTTAAAGTATTGTTGATGATTTTATTATCCCTGATTGAAACATTTGAAGCTTTATTTCTGTTGGTTTTATAACAGCGTCTGAGTGTTTAATAAATGAATTTATCTCAGTTAAACCTGTTATTATTCTTCCACCTTAAAAGTGACAAGTTCTTCATCTTGTTTACATTCAGACTTGTTGTTTTCTGAGACATTTCTCTGTGATTTATGGATCAGAGGAGATGATTTATTATTATTAAGACAGGACGAGGACAGACGCTGCCAAAATCAGAATTAAATAAACTAGAATCAGCGCCCTGCGGCTGTTTGCCTCCGCAGATTAGTCAAGTTGCACTTACAATTTATATTCATGTCTGTGAAAACATGGATGCTTCTCAAACATCTCACCCCTGGCAGCATGGCCAAAAACAGGTTTTGTGCGGTTACACTGACCTTGACATTTGACCCTTGACCGCTAAATTCAAATCGTTTAATTCTTGAGTCCAAGTGGATGCTTGTGTCTAATTTGAGGAAAGTCCCTCAAGGCCCTATTGAGATTTTGTGTTCAAGAGAATGAGACTGACACAATGTCACAGTGACCTTGACTTTTGACCACCAAAATCCAATAAGTTTCTTGTTGAGTCCAGGTGGACGTTGGTGCCAAATTTGAAGAAACTCCCTCATGAGAATTTTGAGATAGTGTGTTCTCGAGAATGAGACTCACGCAATGTCACAGTGACCTTTGACCACCAAAATCCGATATGTTTAATGCGAGGGGACGTCTGTGCTAAATTTGAATGAATTCCCTCAAGGCAATCTTCATTCAAATTGGATGGCTGCAAGGTCACAGTGACATGTGACCACCAAATTCTAATCAATTCATCATTACCTGAAAACCTGAAAACATAATGGCTTCAGCCGTCAGTCGCCAACTGGCAAGACGTAAAGAATCAGATCCAGATATGTAAAGTCTTCTTCAGAGACACCTCCAGATCTATCGTCACAACATCAATCAAAACAAAAGCAAAAACACCAAACAGCTGCCAACCGTCCAGAGCATCAGAGCAACGATTCTCATTTCCCTAAACTCCGCCCACACTACAGAGGCAAAACGTCAGCAGACTCCAGATCAACAGATCAGCGTGTTGGACCGTTCCTTCATCTGGTTTTAGTTTATCGTCTCCGTTTGTCAACAACAAAAATGTGGCTACAAAGACTAAAGTCAGTCCTCTCCCTTCACTGATCCAACTAAACTCAAACAACATGACCTTCAACTCTCAGTTCCCCTCACCTCAACCTTAAACCTTTGACCTTCAGCCTTCATCCTTATCCACTCCATGGTGAATATGAGCAGTTACAACAGGTTCATGGTGATAAACTCCCTGAAATATAAACTAATGACATTAAACAGGTTGTTATTACAGTCACAAACAGAAAGACCTTCATCCAGCGATAAACACAATCTAGAAAATCATTGATTCAAACATTTTGTTCCTGCGAAGCAAAATAAAATAAAGTTCAATAAAATCATGTGAAGAGCAGCAGTGCAGAGAGAGTAGAGCTGAACAAGTTAAATCAGTGAACGCAGCAGAGACAGGAGAGGAGTGCAGTACAGCAGAGAACAGTTGCAGTACAGTTAGAGAACAGTGGAACAGGGTGTGGTACCTGCAGGTTCTTCCTCCAGACGTTCACAGCAGCGAAGGCCAGCTGCATCTGTTTCCTCCGAGCGTCTTTGTGCCGTTTGTAAGCGATCTCGATAAAGATGAGGAAGATCCCGGCGACGATGCCCCCGGCAACCAGCATGAACACACCTGAAGAAGACAATCTGCATTTTACACGTTCATATAAAGCAACAAGCTACAGCTTTGATCAACTTAGACAAAGCTCTACATCAGGACGTTCCCACCTGTGTGAAGGCGTGTTTCCTACCTGCCATGTTCTCGAAGGTTAGGGTAGCGGGGGCGTTGCTCCTGGAGTCACACTCCTGGTATCGAACCCATGTCTTGTCTAGATCCTCCATGAAGCCATTCTCATGAGAGCTGACAAGAGACAATTAAGGTTAAATAAAGTATGACATGAGGGGCAGGAGAGGGGTATCAACTGAGTATCAGTCAAGTATCAGTAGGGTATCACGTAGAGAATCAGAGGGGTAGCCCTAACCCAAAGTATTGGGTATTATAAGGGTGTTGCTAGGATACTAAAAAGATATCAGTGGGGTATCAGAGTAAGACAGTGGGATATCAGTCAGGTCTCAGATGAGGCTGGTATAAGTACGGCACCAACAGAGTATCACAAGGGTATTAGTGGAGTATCGGAATGTGTCAGAGGGACATTAGAGGAGTATCACTAGATATCAGGAGCTTATCAGCAGGGTATCAGAAAGGAAACAGTGGGGTTTATGAAGGGTATCAGATCAGGGTATCAGTAAAATATTAGACATCAGGATATCAGTAGTACATCGAATGGTTTGAGTATTATAAGGAGATTCATAGGGAAAGAAGCAATGTGTCAGTAGGGTATTAAAAGGGTATCAGTATGGTGCCATTGATGTATCAGTGGGGTATAGAGAGTTACCACAAGCGTATTAGTGGGGTATAACGGTTGGGCATCATCAGGTTATCAACATATCAATAGGTTGTCAGTGGGGTGTTAGTCAGATCTCAGATGAGGAGGGTATAAGTCGTGTGTCAGAAGGCTATCAGGGTGATATAAGCTGGGTACCAGCAGGGTATCAGAAAGAAAACAGTGGGCTATCTGAAGGGTATCAGTAAAATATTAGATAGACATGAGGATATCAGTAGGGTATCAAAGGGGCGTCACTAAGGTATCAAAGGGGTATCAGAATGATAACAGTGGGGTATCTGAAGGGTACCAAAGAGGGGTCACTAGGGTATCCATAGGGAATTAAAAGGGTATAAGAGGGGTATTTGTGGGGTATCAGCAGAGTTTCAGTCAGGTCTCTGTAGGTCAACATTGGGGTATTTCATACCTGAGAATGGCCAAAGAAACATTCTGCTTCCACGGACTGTCTTTCCTCATTCCAATCCCGAATCCGGAGCGAAAGAACAGCTCTCCTGTCGTCACTAGATCGCACTTCTGTGACGCCTCGAACTCCAACACAGCGCTGTCCCAGATAAAGGCATGAAGTTTACTGCAGGAGGAGAACATCAGGAATTAGTCAGGACCACACCGGTCTACGGTGCAGGACAACTTACTGACTGAATAAAGGGCCTACTTGTCTCTGACGGCCTGAATGGCCTCAGCAGCGCTCTCATAGTTGTGTTTCTCCATGTGCCGGTACATGGTGCTCAGCTCCACCTGCCGTCTGAAGTAGATATCCACCGAACTCTGCTTCACTGTGGCGTAGATGAACTTATCTGATGGGTTACGCAGCTACAAACAACAGCACAAGACACAGAGTCAGAGGAGCAGGTCAGCTGATATCAAATATTCACTGTCAGAGTTATAAGCTCCTTTTAAACTGTCGGGTCAAGGCAAGAGTTTCACACCGTTACTCTCACCTCATGTTTGTACGTATAAAATGTATGATTGGCTGCAGTGGTGGTGGTAACAGCGCCAAATGTTCTGTGTGCAACTAACCGGCAGGAGATTTAAAAAGTAGTTGTTAGCAGTTAGCAGCTAACTCAAAGAAGAAGAACAGCAGCTGTTAGCAGTTAGCAGCTAACTAAAAGAGGAAGAACAGCAGCTGTTAGCAGTTAGCAGCTAACTCAAAGAAGAAGAACAGCAGCTGTTAGCATTTAGCAGCTAACTTAAACAATGAGGTCCAGGAGCTCCTTACCCTCCGAGCAGAGGACGAGATCAGCCGCCATATAACAGGGACACTAAATGATTGTTATTGACATGTGATGTCACTGTTATTGTTTATAAAGAGCTGCTGACACGTATGTTATATGTCACAAGTTGCTGTGTTTAACGTCATGTCTGTCATGCATCTTTTGCGTCCATGATGTCATCATGCCGTCTGTAGCCACATGACGCCGCTGTTGTTTCGGTTCTGTGTAAAAATACAGAGTAGGGACGTCGTAGCGGCTCTTTGGCACCATCTCTGTGTAAAAAGGTCTTAACTCTTCTTTGGGACACTGTAGGTGTTTTACTGGGTGATTGCTGCCGGTGCATTCTGGGTAAGTAAAATGGAACAAATACATCCTGACACCTCTTCTGTGTGGACGTGATGTGAATGGACGAACATACTGTTCAGGTGAAGATGTCCCACTCTGCTTCCTGCGTCAGTGAGAAGTCTTGGTGACATGCTGCTTGTTTGATAAACCGCTCGCCCTGGCTCTGTTTGTAAAGCTTTGTTCACCTCCGACCTGTTTTCAGAGCAGCTGCGAGGTCTTCCTCAGGTTCGATCGGGGCTTGATACGCTCCCTGGATGTTGCTGTTGCTCATAGTATATCTGGGAAATATTTTTGGAATTCACCTGCTTGCTGTCCTTAGGAAGAACGTCCTTACCCACATCAGAATTTTCCAAGCTGAATATTTTACCCTCTGGGGTTCCACTTGACATCTGCATCTTGTTTCATCACATGACTGTGTTCCTTCTTGTTTTTACACTATAAAACATTATTACTGATGTTTTCTCTTCAATATAACTCACCTGCAGTCATGAGAAATATATATTTCAATTGCCTTTTTTTGATTTCAGCTACATGTCAGGTGTTTTACCAACAAGACTGTACAAGATGTTTGGTGCCGTTAATCATCTGTTGAGTGGAAACGCACGCAAAATAATGGAATTTTAAACATGATTAAAATACGATTAATTATGATTAACTGCTGAAATTCAGCAATCAAAAAAGTGAATCGTTTGACAGCCCTAATCTATTTGTTTTTCAATCTTACTGTGTTTTAGCATTTCTCTGTTGAGAACTTTGGTAAAAACTTTGTTGATTTTTAAAGTGCGGCATGAACACGTCCTACTGGACTAATGTGGGAACATCAGGGACACAAAGACGGAGCAGAAGATGAGACTCTTCTCAAAGTTAGAACCTTAAAATAAAACAGCTTTGGGGTCATCAGTAACAAGTCAGGAAACAGTAAGAGTTATGGAGGACGTGATGGGCGGAGTCTCACCCTGGGGTCATTGATGCCAGTGATGCGCTCCTCAGGCCGGTCCAACACAAGGAAGGCTGCCAGGTTGGCAGTATACGACGCTACGATGATCATAGCGAAACCTGCCCACACCATACCCAGAATCCTCGCTGAGAAACTCCTGGGAGCTCCTGCACACACAGACAGACAGGTGACACTGAGGTGTAGCGGGGAGCACTGAGGGACAGGAAGTGACAGCTGAGGGGACGACTGACCTTCTCCTATCCCAGAGTTTAACAGTACTCCCCATGAGAACCACATGGCAGAGGACAGGGTGAGGGCGTCTTCTTCTTCTTCTTCACTGTTCACTTTAAACCTTCCAAACGGGCTGCAGAGGAGCACAGTCAGGGCCGGGTTATCAGACAGTGGGCCCCCCCCCCCCCCCGCTCACACAGAGGAACAAAACACACGTTATAGCTGTTTAGCCTCGTTTGGTGTCTCTTTGAGGTGACTGAGGTAGATAATAAAACATAAAAAGTTGTTTGGAAAAGTGCGGTGCCCAGAGAGGCAGTCAGAGCTACAGGCTACAATGAGGCTAAAAACAAAGTTCAAATGAGGTTTTTCCAAACAACTTTTTATGTCGGGGCTTCAGGACACTTGGATCACTACGGACGAGCAGTATGGAGATATTTTGTGGTTTCAATGATGTGTTTTTGGACGTTTGAATCTGGGGCGCCGTCAGCCTCCATTAGGTGGAGTTGTGTTGCTACCTCCTCTCCCCTTGGATCTCTGCAAGTGATGTGAGGACTCTAAAACTTCACCTGAGCCTCCCTCGGCATATGGGTGAGTAGATAATGGCTGAATTTTCATTTGTGGGTGCACTATCCCTTTAAAAGGGAACATCTGGGTCAGAGAAATGATTGCGCTAATATGTGTGCGTTGTACAATATGTCTGTAGTTATCATGACGGGCCTGGTTACACACATTAAATGGTCATCTTTAAAAGTTATTCTGTCAGTTAAAGGTTCAGTGTGTCAGATTTCGGGGGATTTGGTGGCGTCCAGTGGTGAACTGCAGATTGCAACCTGCTAAAAACTTCTGCCGGACAGAATTTTTTCCAGAAACTTCTGCCGGACAGAATTTTTTCCAGAAGTTTTTATCAGGAGCTGAATTATCCACAGAACAAACAGCTGATCTGAATCACTGACAACACTGAATGAATCAGTTTCTCGTTACAGATCAGTGGAACTCCACCGCTACACATTGCAGTTGGGCTGCTGACTGCAGCGGCCAATGCATAAACCTGAATGTCTCTATCTAGAGTCAGTGTTTGGTTTGTCTGTTCTGGGCTACTGTAGAAACATGGCGGTGCAACATGGTGACCTCTGTAGACGAGGACCTGCTCCCTGTGGAGATATAAACGTGTCATTCTGAGGGAACCAGAACACAACCATTAGATCAGATTATATTTCTGACAGTATATCCCCCTCAATCCTCCACGCTGGACCTTTAAGATGAGCTGTGTTGTTTTGTGTCATATTGCACATTAGTGTGTCATATCGCATCACACCATGTTTCATATTGTGTCATGTGGCACAGTGTTTTATTGTGTTGAACAGTCTGATCACCTGAGGTGGTCTAACAGGTAACGATGTCACTACATGGACAGACAGACAGACTGTGTGTGTTGTGCTGCACGGTGTTGCAGTGTGATGTCATATGGAACTCTGCTGTATCGTCTGACATGACGTCATGTGATTACCTGAACCGGTCTAATAGGTAAAGCATCACTGCCACCACGTGGACCGACAGACCGACTAACAGCCACAGTGTGCTCTGGAACGGCTGCATGAATGAATCCAGAGTGCTGCGAGGGATTTCCTAAACACACACACACACACACACACACATCAATCATTAGGTTCAGTAATAACAGGGTTCATCAGCTGTGACTGAGCCTTTAAACACAGGGTAAACAGCTGCTCTCAGTTTATTGTTCTGACTGTGTGTATGTTCAGTTATTAATAATCTGGACTGTTCAGGTTCTGTTGTATCTGCTCTCTCTCTCCTTCTGTTACTGCTTACTCTGTGTCAGGTCCCCGTCAGCCTCATGAGCACCTTCGCTCAGGATTAATAAAGTCTGATCTCTGTGTTTGTACAGAATAAATCCAGTGACAAAAATCTGTCCAATAAATAAATCTGTGACTTTTCCACAGACGACACGTTGACTTCCTGTTCAGACCTTTGAACGATCTCCTCACAGTTAAATCACTGTGTGTGTCCTGTGTGCTGGTCCTGAGGACAGAGTCAGTTTATCATATAAGCACCGCTGCAGAGCTTACCCTGGATCAGACGAGCCGAGGCTCGATGGAAAGTATCGACCTGCTGCTGTGATCTGGGTCAGTCTGACCTAAAACATCCCAAAATATCCTCCAGAGCAGCGGGACAGAGGCTGACGCTGTAACACTCTTCCTGCTGTGCTGCAATCACGCTGTGTTAAAGGCACAGTTCACCCAAAAATCTAAATGACGCAGTTTCCTCTGATCTGTGGAGCTGGACATCAGTCGGGAGGGTTAGGGTGTTGAGATGATCGGCGTCTTCTCTCCAACATGATGAAACTATTGGAAAACTCAACATCAGTGTCTCTGTCAGACACCTTGACCTGGTTTCTCAGCATCATCCACAGATGATTGTTTCATGTAGGGACTGTTCTCTCTGAGGCTGTTCTCATAAACTGTTCGTACGTTTTCCTACAAAAAGCAACGCACCCAAATTCATATAAAGGTTTTCTAGAAAGCCTGTGACCAACGCACTGACTGAAGGAAACAAGGAAGCAGTCCCAGTGTTGTGAGGAGGCAGGTTGGGGTGGTGATTGAGGTCACAACAACACAGACTGTCCCCAGAGGACAGGTGTCTGGGACTGTGTGGACTCTGAGTCATTTCAAGGATCGTTCTCACCATGTTTCTGTTCCTAAATCTGAACTCTGTAACTCTACGTCTACTTCACACTGAGGACGTAACTGTACGTCAAGGACGTGACGTCATTCACGGGGTGGCAACTCGCAGGACATCAAACAAACTGCCAGGTGAGGATACGTCATTTCTTTTTACTGAACTACACCTGTAACTGTGTGAACGTGCAGACAGGTGAGGACCTGCCCACAGACTCAGAGACTGGACACATGTTCAGCTTTGGTTGGAATGGAAATCAGTTTGAGAGCATTTCAAATGTCGAAGAATTTCTTGCTCTGTAAATGGACCTGCACTTGTACGGCGCCTTTCTAGTCCTCTGATCACTCAAAGCCCTTTAGTCACATTCACACATTCACACACACATGTTCACACACACATGGTCCGAGGCTACCATACACACTCACACACCGATGGAAGCATCAGGAGCAGTTTGGGGTTCAGTATCTTGCTCAAGACTGGAGGAGCTGGGGATCGAACCGCTGATCTTCTGATTGGTGGACGACCTGCTCTGCCTCTGAGCCAGGCGCCATCATGACATCATGCAGACACTGGGTTTTGCTCTCCATAACTTACAACTAAACATCAGTATTCTACGTCAGGATGACGTTGGTGAGACGTTTGGAAGACGCTGGTTTTTGGTGACTTTACCAACACGACACATGAGGGAGCGCTGATGCACTTCATATAAGAGCGGCTGTGATTCAGTCGTCAGCACGAGGCCGCACTTGTTCACAGCCTGTGTGATGATGCTTCTTTACAACACTTACACATTTATCAACAGTAAAAAGTGTCAACAGGTTCTGATTTGTTTGTTTATTTAATTATTTATTTGGCTCCGCCCACCCAGATGTGGACCGGCAACTGGACCAGGAATGGACTGTTGCTAAGCAACACAAAAACATTGCTCGTGTTAGTCGACACGTCACCACAGAGCAGCTGCTGTGTGTCATGGAGGGACATCTGTGTGTCTGTTTATTCATCCACCAGCTGACAGTCGCTTTGGTGGAATAACGCGTGGCGCTGATGAGGTCATCAGCACATTGTGTCATCTTCTGATGTCATGTGATCACACCTGGAGATTTACAGTGAAGTATTCAGGCTTGTTTCAGTCACTTCATTATTGAACTCAAATGTTACCTGTGGTCACGTGTTTCATTTAATGTTGGCTCATTAATAATTATGATCATTAACGGCTCAGATCACCTGTGAACCTGAGTTAAAAGTCCCCGAGCTGTGACATCAGCACTCAGTGAACGACTCCTGTCCAATCAGATCGCTCTGTCAGAACTAACTGTTGTAGAATTAACACGACTTAAAACCAACAAAATATCAACGTCATGCGTCGTCAGGACTCTACGTCAAACTGAAGCTGGTGTTAAACGTGTCATCCTGACACTGAATTTTGGACCAGATGTCGAAACCAAAATGAAACCAAACATAAATCTCTAATGGTGTCAGCGTCCAGCCGGGACTGTTTGTGTCTCATCTTCAATCAACTAAAGCTGCAGAGGAAGAGACACCCCCCCCCCCCCCCCCCCCATCTCTGATCTGATGGGGACGCAGGCGACTTTTTATTTGTGCTGTACTCAGGACACACACACAACTTGACTCCAGATACAACAGATAAACAGAGTGTTGGGTTTGTTCTTGTCTGTAACTGAAGAGAAGCGAGGGCCGGGGCAGCTGCCCCCCCCCCCCCCCCCCCCCCTCTGGTGTTGGGGGGGGGGGGGGGGGGGGGGGGGGGGGGGGGGGGGGGGGGGGGGCAAAGCAAAATGTTGCCACATTGTTGAGTTCAGTGAATCAGAAGGATTTTCCACTTCTGTTGTTTCTCTGTTGTCTCCAACTCCGACAGCAGTGAACATGGTGTCTGCTAACGTTCAGCCGCAGGCGTATGCCACGCTACATCCTGTCCTCTGTGACGGGTTGTTTAAACTTTTGGACGGATGCAGGCGGGCAGGTGGAGACACACATGAATACTGCGACAATCCTGCTTTAGATTTGGAAAGTTAAAATGATTCAGAACAGAAATCACTCCTGATTTGTAGTGATGCGTTCAGGTTCACTTGGATTCACTTTGTGTGAGAGGAAACACAACCAGGTGGAATAAAAACAAGGAGTTAAGCACAGACTGAGATCAGAGCAGGTGACCTGAGGAGAGAGGAGGACGGAGGAGCAGAGTGTGAGAGTCAGCTCACCTTCTTGACGAGGATGGTGAGTCCCTGGTATTTGAAGGGTTTGGAGAACTCGATGTACTGAGCGCGCTCGTTGTTGATGGTGAGGGGAGCGACGATCATGTCGGCCAGACCTCCCAGCAGCTCCCCCATCATCCCGTTCCACTCCTTCTTGTTACTGTTGTTGACCTGCAGGAGACGCAGGAGGAGCACAGGTCAGATACGTCAACCTAAAATCCTAATGATCCTATAACCCTGTGTGTGTGTGTGTGTGTGTGTGTGTGTGTGTGTGTGATCCTCAGGTGACACGTGTGATGCAGCAGGTTTATTCACAGAACAAGATTCAACTGATGAAGATTCACTCAGAAATACTACAGTCAGCAGGAGGAGGAGGAGGAGCAAGAGGAAGAGTAAGAGGAGGAAGAGCCTGAGATCAGACGACTGCTTCACTGGACCTGTTATGATCAACGATCAATAACTTCATCTGTCTGTGGTTTGATTTCATCTACACATCTGTCAGATTAATGAGTTATAAATACATCTGGGGGGAGGAGGAGGAGGAGGAGGAGGTGAGAGCAGCAGCAGAGAGAGAAAGCAGAGGTGGAGAAAGGGTGTGTAAGAGTAAAGATGGAGGAAGAGGAAGAGGAGGGGAAGAGACAGGATTGGGAGGAGAGATGTGAAAGAATAAAGATGAAGGAGAGGAGGTGATGAAGGAGGTAGCAGCTAATCGAGCAGAAGAAACAGACAGGAGAGATGGAGGAGAGGAGGTGTAGCAGGAGGAGGAGGAGGAGATAAAGGAGGAGGCAGCAGCTAAGCGAGCAGCAGCAGAGTAATGACTGAATGTCTCTCAGCTTCAACAAGGTCAGAGTGAGGGACGGAGTGGTGGTCTCCATGGTAACAAGCCTCTGTGATGAATCAGTAAACAGGTCAGAGTCACAGTGACATCATCGCTCGCCATCTTTCTTCCAGCTGTGACTCCTGAATATTAATACGTTATAAACAGCTGCTGTTAAAGCACCACAGAAGAAGAGGAGGTCACAGAGCTCCAGCTAACGATGCTAACTCCTCAAACAGTGCTAACAACAGTGCTGACAGAGCTGACGGTGTTAACCACAGGGCGGGCGCTACGCTACTGTGACCACACCGTGCTGATGTCAGCGCTAACCGCCATTTGAGCTCAGTGCAGAGTGACGGCCATGAACTAACCAGAGGGACACACACACGCACTGACACACACACACACACAGCTGGAGCGTCTCACACAACAAACTACAGAGAACCTCAGATGACATCACACACAGAGGAAGTGACATCATTCTCTAAACGGGACGACATCACTACACTGGATCTTTGCACAGACTACAGGTTTACTGCTGAGTTAAGGATCTGTCTGAATCACACACACACACACACACACACACACACACACACACACACACAAATACTTACTCGCTCCTGCGTGCCAAATTTCCCATCAGCCACCAGGTGAACCTCGTAGGTGAAGTTCATGCTCATCGCCAGCTTGATGAGCAGGTCGATGCAGAAACCGTAGCAACACTGAGGGACGATGGGCTGACCTGCACACACACAAACACACACACACACACACACACACACACACACACACGGAGTAGAGAGGCGGTGTGCACGTGTCAGTGTGCTTTTCTGTCTCTGTGAGGACCATTCTGGAACTCAGGTCCTCATGATGTCATGGATGCATGGAGCTCAGCAGCAGCTGAATCTGATCTGATGACGGCTGGTTTGTCTCAGTCCATCCTGATCAATGACTTTAACTCTGATTTGAATTCATTTTGAAATCAATACGTGAAATTACAGAGAAATACTAACAACAAAGTTTAATGTCAGTATGCACAAGTGTGTGTGTGTGTGTGTGTATATGGTACATAGTGAGGACCAAACACTGTATCTGAGCACCAAAGTGAGGACATTGAGGCTGGTCCTCACCTCTTCACAGGGTTAGACTTGGTTTAAGTGTTCAGGATACAGTCAGGGTTAGTGTAAGAGATTAAGTTGAGATGGTTCAGTCCTCACAAAGACAGAAGTACAAGAACCTGTGTTGGTGTTGTTAAATATGTGTGTGTGTGTGTGTGTGTGTACCTGGTATGGTCCCATTGGGTCCAGTACAGATCACCTTCTTGATTAAGACTCCATTGACGGTGTACTCTTCTTTACACGTCCCGTCAGTCTTTGTTGGCTTCACGTAAACAAACGGCTCCTGATGGATCGTCACAATCTGAACACACACACACACACACACACACACACACACACACACACCTTAGTAAAAGTACCACAGTGTGAAAACACTCTAACACCATTTTTCCACCAAAATCAGGGCATTTCTGCGTTTGTTTTTTAATGCTCCAGTCTCCCCACAGGTCGCTCTGGTAAGTAAGCAGCTTAATTTGAGCCACAGAACCCCTTCAGCATTGTTAACTCATTGGTAGCTCTGTTAGCACTGTTAGCAGCAAGAGCACAGCTGGTGGAGCTAACAGTGCTAACAGAGCTAAAGAGGTTCAAATTAAGCGTTTTACTCACCAGAGAAATCTAAAGAGAGCCCAGAGGGTGGGCACAGTGTTTCTACAGCAACACTGTCCAACCACCCTGGGTTGGGACGGCGTTACCAGCAGTAAAAGCTGAGCCGCTAGCCCCTGGCTAGCTCCGGTCTGGTCAGTGCGCAGCACAGAGTGGCCAAGGCTAACGTTAACCATCAAGCAGCAGCAAGCTGTCTGTCTGTCAGCAAAGCCAACAGAAACTAAAATAAAAGACTGACGTTAAAATCTGACCCAGTGTTGCCTACTGTTTTCCAATTAAAGCTAACTAGCATTAGCTCCAAAAGTCGCTAAAGGTTGGCAGATGATGTCATCTGCTTATTTGCACATTGATGACATCGCAAGGAGAGAAGGGGGGGTGAAATATTTTAATTACACTCCTTACAGAAATAAAAGAAGTTTACGACTTTGGTGAATAAAACAGAAAATCCTCAGCGACACGTTTGAACGACACGAGAGCTGTGAGGTAGAATCAGTGTTTCTGTCGGAGGAGTCTGGTGCCTGTGGACGAGGGCAGCAGCAAAATGTATTTTAGACACATAAAAATAGGACCACTGAAAAAAATCAACACCAGATTAAGTGAATGTTATATTTAGAATATTTTCATGGCTTCATCTGGCTGTCAGACAGCTCTCTGCAACAGGAAGCTGACACTGTTACGCTATGATGTCCTCAGTCACCAGACTCCTCTGACAGAAACAGTCATTTAACTCCACAGAACACAGACTCTGCTCCTCTGCTCCTCGATCAGGTGGTTAGTTTGTGTTACTGTGTGACATTCAGAACAGGCCTAACTGTGCCGCTCTCTTGTCTGCCTGTCCAAACTGGGAGTGTAAGATCGATAACACACAATGAAGGCTCAGGAAGTGAGAACGCTCAGCGGCGTCCTCCCTGCTGCTCGTCCTGCTCCTGCCCCACACCCAGCTGGTGTCTGCACAGTGCTGCTACACAAAGGAGAGAGGAGCAGAGACTCATCAGAGGAGCTGTGGACTGTGACCCTGATGCTGCGAATAAGTCACTAAATTCATCACTAGTTGCTTTTTAGAAATAAAGTCACTGCGAGGGTCTGAAGTCTCTAAATTTAGTGAGAAAGTTGCCAAGTTAACAACACTAGTTTCACCTCCTCTAAACGGACAGCACTTTGAGGAGCAGGTCTAAAGCTCACTGAGTCAGCTCAGCGTCCGACTGTGTTTCACCTCATTTTGTTTTTGTTTAAAGGGTGTCAGACTATTGAAAGCTAAAGTAACTGAAAGTGACATCCCTCCAGCTGCACATGTATAAACTGGAGCTTCTTTTATAACAAAACTCCAGATATATAAACTCTTCATATGCAGTGGCAGTCCTGCCAAATTTCTCAGCGGGGACAATTGTTGTGATGATGGCTGAGGTGACCCGTTCAATGGGTAAATTTGAATTAATTTGGCTCTGCAATGACTGAACAATCCACTGTGGTCATCAACAGACTAATTTTCATCAGTTTGCCCACACAAATACCTTTGAATGTAAACAGAGACCTGTTTTACCATTAATCAAATAAAACTGAGTAAGGTATTCACTGAGTCACTGTCAGTCTTAATCAAAAAACATTTTATTATAGCTAAGTGGAAATTAATTTTGTGTTCTGATTAAA